ATTAGCTACCGAACACGAATTGATAGACAAGAATAATCAATCCCCATCATATGGTTTTGGAGGTAGAGGAAAGTTCGAGAATGATTGCTGCCGGGGTTTATGGAATGGAATTAGGAGCTTAAGATTTTTTTTATTATGATGTTGTTATTGGTAATATGATTAATATAATTTGTATAAATGGTTAATTTGATTACAATAAAGATTTAAATGAAGTCCAATTTATATATATGCTACAGATTGGAGACGTTATGGAATCCACCTGATTAAATGAAATTTATTAGGTTGAAGTATGAACTATTTTTTATATGTGATATTCTGAGAAATATTGAATTAAATTTAGGATAAAGATATAAATGTGAATCAGAATTTAGACAATGAATAAATTAATATTGTAATTAATGAATTATAATTATGTAATGGTTCTGATATTAAATGGATTATTATAGATGCTGACAAAGAAAAATTGGATGATGAATGAATTGACAAACGGAAGAAAATAAGAAATAGTTAATTTGGTACAAGTGAGGAATGTTGTAATAATTATTGGATTTTGGAGCCATCTGGCATAGTGTTGTTAAACGGCTCGATTTAAGCCGATTTTTAAAAACGGCTAATTCAATATTTTAGCTAGAATGATATTGTCTAAGCCTCGAGATTTCATTAATAGATCTTCAAACCTTTGTCTATCTATGAGCAAAATCTTAAGTCTTGCATAATATTTTTCTGGCTAAAATGTTGAATTAGCCGTTTCTAAAAATCGGCTCAAAATGAGTCGTTTAACAACACAAATCTGGCATGAACAAAGGGATGAGTAGATTCAAATATTATCGTGAGATTATGAATAATTTGTAATAATAATTAGTTGAAATAATGTTGATATGAAATTAATTTTGGGAAATTGATGACTCAGTAAAAATGGAACATTATGGGAAATAATTTTGTATAATGATATTTACATGGCAATTTGATTTATAGATTATGATTAAGAATCTATGATAATTTAGACATTGTGGAATAGGTTGCTGATAAAAGAACCAGCAATTTGGACATTGGGAAAAATATTACTGATAAGAGAACCTAGTTAATTTGGACATTGAGAAAAAGGTTTCTGATAAAAGAATCTGACTAATTAAACATAATTATAAAAATTACGATGGGACTATTATATATCAGAGGTTTGTGACTGCACGATAGTATATTGGATTGGAAAAAGAAGGTGGGAGAGAGATGTAGTGATTAGCTACCGAACACAGGGATTGATAGACAAGAATAATAAAATCATATCATATGGTTTTGGAGATGGAGGAAATGGAGAATGATTGTATGGAAGATGAGGATGTTTATATTTTTTATGATTGTATTATTATGAAATTATGATGCTATTAGGATTAATTATGATAAATATAATTTGTATAAATTGTTTATTTGATTACTTTAAAGATTTACATGAAATCCAAGTTATATATATAATATATTATATTCCCCCAAATAATATATGAGAATAGCAAGTCAATGGTCTTAGGGAAATTTTTATTATTTAAGCTCCAAACTGTTGATTATTATTGTTATGGAATACCAAATATCTAAGACAAATAACGATGACCTAAACAATAAAGAGCACATTCTAGGGGATTACCTAGCTGAATTAGATTTGATGATTAGATATATAGATAACCATTATTAATACATTATGAATATTCCAGAATATCTTTGATGAAACAGGACGCAAATCGACTTCGTTTAAGAAATTAAAAACATTTATAAAATCAAGTTTAATTAAGAGAATGTCTTGATTAAGGTTAATAAATATTCTAATTAGAATCACTTCAGCCACCCTTCACATCAAAACCAAAGTTCAAAAACGACGACAGACGATTTTTGATCGGAGAACAGATTATTTTGGAAGCATTCCTGTATTGGAATGTTAACATAACTATTGGAGGCATTCCTCCATTACGTTTCTTAAGGGCAATTAATATTTAACTATTGTAATATCGGATTCACCCAAAAGGATTTTGCTGAAAGAATGTAATATTGGCTAAACTTCCTATTATGGCAATTTTCATTACCTATAGAGAAGATGGGCGAAATTTATATAGTTTTCTGGCGGAATTTCTTTGAAAGACCTTAGAGCTACATCTTCCTCAGTAAAATTAATGGGATTATTGCATTAATCAGAATTTTAAAGAATAAATTCAAAAGTTATTGTCAAATTTATTATGCTCAAATGTTTAGGTTTAACTTTAATCCAAATTAACAAGGATATATTCAAACAAAAACAGGTATTTTTTAGAAAAATAATAAAAAATTTAAAATTAGAATCTATCTAGTTCATTCCAATCGCATTCATTTTAAGTATATGCTCAATTTTGGAAATGGGAAAAATGCATATAGTGATCTACATTATTTAGTCAAAAAACGCCAACTGATATAAATTTTTTTAAATTTATTAAGTGCAAGACAATTTTGAATTCCGTTTAATAAGATTTTAGACCAGCAAAGATGAACAAATAATTCGAGGAATGCTATTTGCAAGCTTTTATCTAAATTTTAAATGTGATTTCTTTTATATGTTGAGTATTCAATTTTTATATTGAAAAATAATTTAAGCAAGATGAGTATTTATTGACCCATTTTTAACTATGATTTAACCCACATCTCTCTAAGACCTTTCAATTTGTAATTTGTTATAAAATATAATATTATATTCTTAGCATCTATATAAAAGAGCAGTGGCGTCGCTAGGATGGGGCGCGCAGGGGCTCGAGCCCCCTGGAAAATTTGAATAGCCCCCTAAAGCAAAAAATTTTTTTTAATGGAATCTTAACCCCTTGAACTTAAAAATTTTTTTTGATTGCCCCTGAAAGATTTCTTTTATAATTCTATTAAGTAAAATATATATTTAATTTTATTATTTAAAAATAATAAGACTATCTATATATTTATTAAATGAATACTATTTTAAATATTAGATTAAATTAATACATATAAATTATATTTTCACTATGACAGCTAGCAATCAAATTTTGTGAGAATATCAATATAACTCACTAAATATTCATTTAGCATTAACAGTTGAAGCTTAATGGACTATTATTATTTAAATTATTTTATAAACCTATAAAAAATATTGTAATTAGCAGAGTTCAAAATGACTAATCAACTGTATATTTATTTTTAATTTTTATTATACCTATTCCTAAAGATATTTTTAAGGTCCAAATAAGTATAATAAAAAGTAAGTAGACATATAGTTTATAATCCTCTATTATATACAATTGTTTATAAAATATTAGATAAAATGCCACTGTATTTGACAGTTATAATATATTACAGCTAATATTATAATGAATTTTATTAATAAATGCTTTTGATAATAAATATAGTAACAATTTGCTTTCAAGTATTAAACGCCATCTATTTACTTATAAATAATTTTAAAAATTAAACATTTTATTATTCATTCTACAATAGATATAATAAATTTGATATCTTTTTTTTCTTTTTTACGTTAGGAAAACTATTTTTTTCTTTTTCAAAAAACAATTTTGAGTTAAATTTTTAATACAAGTATATTTTTGATATTTTTACAAACTACTATTATTTTAAGATATAATATACCAACTAGTGGTGGTGCGACAATATATAAAATCTTAATTGTTTCATCATATCATTCTGGTCCTTATTTTATAGTTCCAAAATGTTTCATTTCTAATATGGCACCCTTGCCGTGTAAATAACTCAAGGCTTCAATATATTTGCACAATTATTTCTTCCAAAAATTTTTAGTGTTTTTATATTATCAATTTATTCAACATAATAAATTCTGATACTAGTTTACATCGTGAGTGTCATGGCTATTACTGCAAATTAACTAGCATCAATTATTTGTGCTGCTATATAATTTAAGATTATTACTACAACAGCTGAGAGCATATGATTGCATATTTTAGATAAACAATAATGGTCAACTGTGCAGTCGTTTATATATTATATATCATTAAATGAATGATAATCTTTTAGAAATTTAAGATCTCACAATAATTTTCTCGATTAATTATCTAGCTACCATCATGTCATCTAAAAGGAAGTGCTAACCACTTAATAGTTTTATGATTTGGATTGGTCGTTTATACTCTCTTCTTCAAGAATTGTTGATTTGGTTTAGGCCTATAAATTTTTCCTTATTAGTCCATTCTATAAATGTATTAAATGGTAACAGAGAGTTATATTAGTTTGATAACCATTTGTTAATGTAAGTTGCTAAGAATTATATTATTGCATAATGTGGTTTCTAAAAACTATTATCAATTTATCACTTGTAATTCTTTATACGCAAATTTTTTTTATATTAACAATCGAAAATATATGATACTGTAATAAATAGATTTTGTATTAAAAAAAATTTATTTTTAGAAATGTCTTGTATTGTTTTAATTATTAATATTCCAGTTTATTTTGTATGCATAAAATGAGAATTAAAATTCAGAATAATTGTTCAGAGTTAACAAATTTAAAAAAAATGTAATATATTAATATAAAACCCGGCCGAAGGCCGGACAAAAGAGGGCCGAAGGCCCGCAAATATATGGGCATGGGGAGGGAGCGAAGCCCCCTTGGAATTTTTTTAGTTGAGCCCCCCGAGATTGTAAAATCTAGCGACGCCCCAAAAGAGATAAATATTCAACAGCTTTGGGTTTACCCCCCTCCTTTCCCCCCCCTCCCCACATAATTTCTGAAATTTTGAATTTTAAAAAATGTAACATATCTTATGGGTATCAAATTAAAACCAGCCTCTTAGTGAAGTTAGAATTCTATAGTAATAGAAATTATTTATGTTTTTTATGTGTTATGGGTCTTTTTATAGAATATCGAGGGGGAAGGAGGGTCTTAGTCAATATATGATTATATATTATAATGGAATTGTTTAATATTTAGTGATCGGGAAGGCCTCAACCTCATTAGATGGGTGTCTCAGTGGCTCTCTTAAAATAAGATTGTTAATCTTTATTTTTTTAGTGGATTCATATTTAATTTTTATCATAAGCTTGTTTTTCCTGTAAAATGGTTCAACGATTAACATTACCACGGAAACATCCTTATAACACAAAATCTAACCGAAAGAAGATGTATATATATATTATGTGATTTTTTATCATTATGCATATAGAGTCAAGACTCCTGGTGGTAAATTACGCTTCCATTATCAAAAAAAGCCAGGATCTTTACCTAAATGTGGAGATTGCAAGCTTAAACTGAAAGGAGTAAAATTTCATACAAGTTTACATTAGTTTATTATTTTGTTAGATATCTGCTGCTAGGCCTAAAGAATTGAAATCTTTATCTAAAAGGCATAAGACTGTTACTCGTGCATATGGAGGCTCTCTTTGTCCAAAATGTGTTAGATTAAGGTAATATAGAAAAATTTATTAACAAACAATTTTTTTTTTAGAATTATTAGAGCATTTTTGATTGAGGAGCAAAAGATTGTTGTCAAAGTCATGAAAGCTCGACAAATTGTGGAAAAGCAAGAAAAACAGGCAAAAGCAAAGGCAACCAAATTGAAATCTAAAAAAACAAAATGATTATTTTATAAAGATAAATCAAATAAATTTATAAGTATATTTTAAAAGTTTGAACTTCTTTGATTAAGCATCAATGTAATTGCTTAAATTCTTTTGTAAATATTGATTTGTTTATGAGACATTATATTAAGCATGTTAAAACTTTTGATTTGTTATAAGTCAAAATTTTAGGCATGTTAATTGTTTAGTTGCCTTGTAACATAATCAAATGATTATATATTTAAAAACAATATTACCTTATAGCATGGGTGGCTATTTATTTAACTTTTCTGTTCACTTTACCATCTTTTTATAATAAATTACATATTCATTATTTTAACAAGAATTACATAAAATGTGACTATCTATTTCATTGAATTTTGACCTGAACCTGTAATGGCAATTATTTTTGATCTGGGCTTTCTGTTGCCTACATCCCAAATTTTTAAATAAGTTAGGGAAGAAGCCAATAATTCAAATCAAAAACCCAAGCTATTAACTGTTTCACCTTAACCTAACTCTAAAATTATCTGTGAGGTTAGAGCCTTTTGATATTTTAATTATAGGTCTGTAATGGGTGGGTTTTAGCCATGAAACCTGCCAACTCAATTTTTTAACCCTCCTGCCTACCTATTTATAATTTTTTTAAAAAATATCTACCTTTATAAATAATGTTTAACCTGACCACCAAATGTAAAAATAATCTAATGGCTGGGATGTCACTTTATTTATTTTTATGTATTTTTAAATAAAAATATAATATACAATATTATGAAATAAAAAAAAATATTTTTATTTGCTCATTTCGCCTGGAAAATATTAAAAATTCACTTGCTCATGCCCACCCATTACTTGAAATTATTTCTACCTAATTTTGGAAATATTTTAGAAGACCCAACATGCCACCCTAAGTATGGGTGAGCTAAAAACCTTCATTGCAGTCCTCTAATTTTAATTCTTATACAGATAATTTAAAATCAGTTTTGCTTTAATTATTTTTAGATATTTTTGTATATTGCAATTTGATTACCAGCTAGCTACTCAAGATATCATGTAGAAGTAGGGAGTCACATAAAGGAAATTTCTCCTATAGTTTCCCCAATTTTTATTTTGTTCTTTTGATCAAATAATAAGGATTTTTGAAAAATATTTTTTCCTCTTGTTTTATATATCAATTATGATTTGTTTTTGTATGTATGTCTATTTGATAATATAATAAAAGCTCAACTCTAGTAATGTTCATTTGACTGAAATATATTTCAAATTTTTAATAACTGAAATAATGAGGATTAAAGGTTAAAGAGATATAGGATATGATAGGCCAACTTTCTCTTATGATATTTAACTAATAATTTAAATTTCTGAAAATGATTTAATGCTGGTAATTTTGAACAGCCATTTTATGTTATATTGTCCATTTTCCATAATTCAGTGTATTTGGAAGAAATTATTTCAATCTTTAAAAACAGCATTTAAAATGCTCTCAAGATATTTAATCAGTATAAATTTGATAAACAATGAATATGAAAGGATTAACAATATAGTAATTATAAGATAAAAATGCCCCTTATTTATGATGGATGGACAAATATAAGAATGATATTATAGCAATCCCAAATCTCATTTTCAATAAATTAATAGACATGGGTCAATATGCATACATATATCACAGACTTGTGGCTATTTGTATGGTTTATGCTGGATTTTTTTTTAAAAATTTTTTGGCCCAGCTCTGATTTTTAAAAAATATATTATTTATTTTTATAGCTAATGAAAATTTAAAATATACGACTAGGGTTATTTAAGTAATTGAAATACGGGCTGGGCCTGCAGATCTCGGATATATCAGAGACCTGCTGGCTTGAGTTTAAGGCCGGGCCTTATTTTAATTATTTAAAATATATGTAGCTAAAAAATATGAGACTTTCTTAAAAAATTCAGATTAATATTAAATTTTTCAAATAAATAAAAATGATATGTGTTTTCATTGAATGAACGTTAAATTCAAACGCGCTCGTCAAAAAAAGGAACGCCTTCATGTTCAAAGCTCGTTAAAAATAAAAGGAATACCGTTCATCATTTTTTTCAAAAAAACCAACTTCGTTCATGATTGCGTTCGTTTACAAGACTAGGATTTAAATAACATTGTTATTTTTAGATTTATTATATTTTATTAATCAATTTATATTATTTTTCTAGCAGATATAAAAAATACGAAATATTTTATTCCGAAATCATTTTAGGCTGCAAATATTTAGAATAAGGAAAAAACAAAATAAGGAAGAAAGTGAAGAGGAAAAATTAAAGGTGAGTTGATAAGAAAAAAACCCCTACTAAATTGAGGAATTTTTATATATATCTAATAAATTTATTAAAGAAATAGGAAACACATTAATTAAAATCATAATAAAGGGTAATGAAGAAAGCCTAAACCAGGCTTGTTAATCGATCCTTTTAAAAATATCGAATCACGATCTTGAAAAAAGAGGATCGACCTTTTTTTAAAAAAAAAGGATCGCTATCACGATCCTTCTCTTATGTAAATTTCTGATCGATGCAAAATTAACTAATATAAAAGATAAATAAATATTGTATAAATTTATTGTAATTGAATAATATAAAATAAGTATAACAATTAGAATATATTTATAATTAAATTAGCCTTTAATAATAAAATTTTTTCGAAATTATCATCATTTAAACAACCACGTTTTTAGCTTTACTAAACAACCGCTCCACAGGAGTGCTTGATTGTAAAGGGGTGTTTCAATAAATGCAGGCTTGTTAACCGATCTTTTTAAAACGATCGAATTCCGATCACGATCTTTTCAAAAAAAGAGGATCGAAATCCAGGATCGACCATTTTTTAAAAAAAAGATCGCGATCACGATCTTTTTTTCTATTTAAATTTCTGAAGGAGATTTCTGACCGATGCAAAATTAACTAATATATGTTATAAATTTATTGTAATAATATAATATAACCGATGCAAAATTAACTAATATAAAAATAAATTAAATATGGTAGAAATTTATTGTAATTGAATAATAAATATAACAATTATAATATATTTATTTATAATTAAAATTAGCTTTTAATAATAAAATTTTTTCTAAATTATCATCATTTAAACATCCGCGTCTTTCATTTAGAACATGTTTAGCTTTACAAAACAAGCGCTCCACAGGAGCGCTTGATGGCAAAGGTGTATTATATTCAATAAATATTTTTTTAAAATTAATATAAGTATTAAAAATATTCATGGAATCATCATTTGAATAAAAAAATTTTTAACGGAACAAGCATTTTGTACAGTATTTTTCCCCAAAAAAGCATCAATGTCATCCATACATTCATTTGAGGTATCCGCATATGGTTGTTCCTGCATATTTCCCAAATGGGCAACTAATCTTTCTTTTACCATCATATTTTGTGGCAGATTAAAATAAGGCCATTAAGTTGTTTAAATTTAGGGTGAATCATGGCTGCCAACTGTCTTCATACAGTGAAGGAAATCTATATTATAAAATGATAATTAATTTATTATTAAATAAGTGTTCATTTTATTCATATAAATCAAATCAAGTATCTGCAAAACCTAACCCTTTTAAATTTTACAGTCAATGGCACATCATCTGTATGGTATTTATTTATATTTAGGTCATATCATAAATATTGATTAAATGTAAACTTAATACTTAATATACAAAGAAATTAACATTGTAATTTATTTACAAAGAATATTAATCAAAATATTAGCTTAAAATTCAAATAATCTAATAAATTTTTAATGTCTTCAAAGGCCCATTAATATTTTACAAGATATCAGAGGTTTAGTAGAACTGGCCTGTTAAAAATATTTTACTAAATTTGCCAGATCTTTGCAATTTTTTAATATATTTTGCAGATATATGATAATATAAAATAATTGAATATTACCTTTTATCAATACCTCTAAGAACACTATCTACAAGGGGCTGACAATACCGCAGGCAGTTAAATTTCGTTAATTTATCTATCAATATCGATAGAATGGGAGTTAGATATCCCTGCTCCATATTATCCTCCCTTTCCAAGATTTTTAACGAGATCGCCAAAGGTTCCATAACCTATAAAATTTAAATTTATTTAGAGAATATCATTGTATTACTGTTGCATGCTCTTTAACAAAAGAACATTCCTCTTGCCTAAACATTGCAAATCCAATTTGATCACATACTTGTTCTACTTCTGAAAACTTTTCAGAAAGCATCTTATCTATTAATTTCATGGATTAATAATAAGAATTCCATCTTGTCTTGTTGGGGGCTATTAAATATCTTCCCAATTTCTCCAATAAAATATCCGCCATTTTTGACGACATATTTTGTTTATTAGCCAAAGCAAAACATTTTGCAAAAGTGGATCTAGATATTCGTTTATAATTGAGATCACTATCTGCCATCTTTGCATCTGTTGTTGCAATAAGGTTAAGATTATGGCAACAACAACGTTGATGTTTTGGTAGGCTGATAGTAGGAATAATTGGGTCATCAACGGATAATATGTCATCCAAATTTATCAATTCCATATCCTCAATACTATCTTCTTCATTTTCTCCAAAAACTCTAGAAAATATAAATTTATTTAAATATTTTTTGCTAAATATAAATATTACTTAAATGCCTTGACAAAGTTGGTTCCATTGTCAGTCACCTTCTTCACCACCTTATTATGAATTTTATAGAACTTGTGAATACCCATGATTTCATTGGCCAAAACATCATACGTTTGCCTCCCAATTATCCTCCTCAGTGCCAAAGCGGCTGACCTTCTTTTGAGGGTTAACGGATCCAGCCAATGTGCAGTAAGTCCAATAAAAGCCCTAATAAAATAAACATTATAAAATTCATATAAATATAATATACCTTCGATGACCACTCCAACAATCAGCAGTGGAGCATACATAAGAAACTTCAGACAAGAGAAGGAAGTAGATATCCTGTTGCCCAGTGTTTGGCGACAAATAATTTTTGTGAAAAAGTTTAATCATTTTTTCAAATGAAGGATCATCAACCAGAGACAGTGGTTGGAAGGTGTCAATAATAAAATCTATGATAACCTTGTCTGCTGTTTTTTGCGATACAGCTGGAATGTTTAGATTGTTAAAATTTAATTTAGATTGTCTGGATTTGCAACCAGAACCACTTTGGTTTTGCAGTGATATATTTTTTTGTGTAGAGAATTCGTTGAGATGTTTGATAATCTCATTTTTTAAATTCATTGTGCTTTTTCTTTATAAAAGATGAAAATA